CACTAGTAGATAAATGGCAATGCAAACAAAGCAAGGGGGAGTCTCCCTCCATCAGGCTGGTGAGCGGAGGAGGGAAGGGAGGAGTGGAGGGGAGACTGGCAGGTAGGTGGAGACCTTCCAGGGTTGGCAAAGGGGTGAGGAAATGGACACTCTCACATCCGGTCAGATGATACATCACTATTGCCTTTTTAGAAGAAAACTTTGGACGCATTTCTTAAAAAAAAAAGAAAGAAATGTTGGTGCCTGGCTGGCTTAGGCAGTAGAACAAAGGGGTTCTTGATCTTGGGGTGGTTAGTTTGAGCTCCATGTTGGGGGTAGAGCCTATTTAAAGAGAGAGAGAGAGAAAGAGAGAGAGAGGGCGAAAGTGCCATTTAGCCAAAAAATAAAAAATAAATAGGGTCTGCACACTCTTTGATACAGCAATTCCATTTTTAGATTTCTTTTTTTTTTTTTTTTCAACGTTTATTTATTTTGGGGACAGAGAGAGACAGAGCATGAACGGGGGAGGGGCAGAGAGAGAGGGAGACACAGAATCGGAAACAGGCTCCAGGCTCTGAGCCATCTGCCCAGAGCCCGACGCGGGGCTCGAACTCACGGACCGCGAGATCGCGACCTGGCTGAAGTCGGACGCTTAACCGACTGCGCCACCCAGGCGCCCCCCATTTTTAGATTTCTAATCCTAGAAATACTTACAGAACATTCTATGCAGCATGAATACGGGTGTGCTGGATATGGAGACAGGGTCAGCTTGAGTCCTGTCACCACAGGGTGAAAATGGTGTCACTATGGAGGGGACTTGGAGCCACCCTGGAGGCTGAGGTTAAGGCCCAGGGCCTCAACGAAGTTCAGGGCAGGTCCTCCTCCAGGCTGGAGCAGAGGGAACCAGGGGAGGCTTCCTGAAGGAAGTGTAAGTCTTAATGCTGAGCAGAAGTTAGCCCAGGGACAGCGGGTGCGAGGACATCCCTGGAGAAAGACAAAACTTACACAAAGTCTGGGACGCAAGAGAGAACTCAGCCTTTTCATAGAATGAGGAAGAGTTGGCTGTCACCGATTTCGGGGTGGCGAGGCTGCAGAAGGAGGTGGGACTTGGTTTTATCCCTTTGGTGATGAGGGGTCCCAGAAGGGAGTGAGAGAGCAGCCCCTTAGGGAAGATCCTGAGGCACCGGGCTAAGGGTCTAGAAAGGCTGGGGATGGTGAAGAGAGCTGTAGGCAGCAGGGGGAGAAGGACAAGGCAACAAGCGGGGATCAGGGGACTCGAGGCCGGCTGGATGTGGGGGCGGCAGCAATGATTTTCCGGCCTGGGGGCTGGCTGGCTGGTGACATCATTCACTGAGATGGCAGTTTCACAGGAGAAGCAGGTGGCTTGATGCCCTATTCATTTTATGGGGTTCCCTATTAATTGGCCCACAAAGGAGAATGACCAAGGGCCCCGGATCTCACAGCATTTGTGGGGTCAGCTTCCACGGCACCATCCCCTTGCCTCTCGGGCCCGCAGTGGGGCTCTCCACACCTGCCCATGCCCTCTCCCCACGGAGACCCCTGTGCTATATAGATGGAGGGCTGTAAAGAAAAGAGGACAAGGGCCAGCCCACTGAGCGGGCCAGCCTTGGGAGGGATTCCCAGGGTGCTTCCTAAGACCCTAACCCAGGGACACTCATCCATGGACACCAGGGACACCCAGCATCCCCTGACCAAATTCACATCCCCCTGCACTGGGAAACTCGCTCAACCGTTGGGTTTACTAAGGCCTCAGGGACGCTTTTGGATGCCCCAGTGTCGCAGGCTCTGAGGACACAGGGTGACATTCGGTAAGTTCCAGAACTGATGCAGCACAGGTGGCACCCACCCAGGAGGGACTCACATGGCCCAGAAGTCTGCACAGCAGGCTGGGAGCCATGGCGGTGACAGCCAGTGGCCAGAGTTTCATGTGCGGGGTGCCTATGGCCACCAGCAACACTAAAGTGTCTCACCATTTTAACGATGGCCCTCATCAAGTGGTGATGTCAGAGGTCTCCACCCCAGGGTGTCCCATCAGCGTGTCATCCCTACGTGGTCCCCAAACCACCCTTACGCTTTCGTCTCCGGCAGCACTTTGGAAGCCTGAGTGACCAGGCTGTTGTCAGTCTCAAGCTGACCCCTAGGGGACAGCTGGGACACAGCAGGGTGCTGAGGGCCTGGTCCACCGGATTAAGATCTGCCCAGGCTGGCGCCCTCTGCTCCCCCGACCTGAGGAGCTGTGGGCCTTTAGCCGAAGGGAGCCCAGAGCCGCACATTAGAGGAAGCTGAGCCAGAAAGTGGATTCATTCACGTCACGGGGACCCGGGGCCTCCGGGCCTTCACAGCCTGTCCCTGCAGGAGCCCACAGGCCCAGCAGGCTGGACTTTGACCTGTTCCCCCCTGCCTCCCACCTCCCAGCACTCAGGAGTCCATGGTAAGGAACAGACCCTGGGTCAACCGAGCTGCCCCACTGGATGCTCCAGAACAAGGCTGAGCAGTGTGTGCAGTGATCAGTCTCCACCTCCCCAGGGTCCCGCCTAACTGAGCCACCTGAAAGAGCCAGACCCACATGCAGGGCATGAAGCGATCCCCCCGGAGGGGCTTAAACACAGGGGAATAAAAACACATACGCAGGCAAGGTCCTGAGAGAGAGAAGATGAGGGGTACTGGGGCTGCTGAGGTTCGACTGGCATGTGCTTCTCGCTTTTCTCTAACCTCTTTTTATTCTGGAAAATAGTGTTGTTTAAAAGCAGAGCATCCTCCTGGAGCCCAGCGCTTCCGTGTCTGTTTCCCACCTTTTCTTCTGGAAGCGTGGACGGCCACGCATGGGGGCCAGGCGAGCAGCCCGTGGCTGCGGGGATAGGGCCTGCCGGGTGACCCTGGTGGGGAGCCTGGCTGCGGCTACCCCCTGCCCCCTAGCTCCTCGTGGGCAGGCCTCCATTTTGACAGGCTACCGAAACACCAGTGTCCGAGGGTAAAGCTGATGAGCACCACGTTCTCGTGCTGACCTCCACGACGCGGCACGGGAGGAAGGCAGCTCTCATGTACTCGCTAATAAGAAAATTCGTATTTCCTCAGGTCCTTTAGACCGGCGTGCCCAGCCCTGTTTACAGCTGAGGAAACTGAGGCGCAGAGGGATTGAGAGCGGCTTGTCCGGTGTGCATATCCAGTCAGTGGCCCAAGTGGGGTGTGGACCCAGTCCTGGGTGACCCCACAGCCTTCCTCCTCACCTTGCTTCCTGCTCAGCTCTCCACGAGGGGTCCACCCCAAAACCCTGGGGACGCTCCGTGTTTGTCCCACATGAGGAGTCCTCTGCCCTGATCCTGGCCCATATCCCATTAGCTGGGCTCAAATACATATTCACCCCACATCCACTGGGCCTGTCAAGGCAGGCCTGGAGCCCAGCTCTCTGCACTCATCCCTGGGGGGGCCCTCATTTTGGGCACAGCACCCTGGAGGCCAGCCACCTGGCTTCCGTGTTGGGGGCCCCGGCCCCGCACCCCATGCCTGGCTCTGGCTTCTGCCGCCTTTGAGCGTTGGCTTCTCCAATATCATTCTGCTGGCCTCCCTCAGCGATACAGCCCTCTGTGTGGACTCCCGCTCATCCAGTCCCCATCCTGACCCCACCACCCGGCCTAAGTGACCTCTGGGGTCCTGGATCTCCTTCAGCTCTGGAAAGTACTTCTGTTTGGGGGAGTTCACCAACCAGAGGCGGAGAGAAGGTATTGGAGCTGGCCTGGATGACAAACCGAGCGAATCGTCCTCCAGCCCTGGGGTGTCTCAGCCAGAAGGGCCCTTGGAGCCTGTCAATATACGCATCTTAAACTGTGTCTGTCTGTAGGGTGTAGCCACAAGTGTTTGGAACGAGAGTTCCGAAGCTTTATAACAAACACACCGCTGGGCACGGATAAAGGAAAACAGCCATGAGGGCTGTGGTGTGTGCCCCACCTCGGGCGCAGAGTTCCTCAGGCCGTCAGGACTTCCTGAGTGACGGGAGTGCCTTTAGTCACGCATAGGGAACCCCTTCCCGACATGGCTGCGTTCCTGCCGAGGAGGTGACACCGGGGGGCCCCTAGAGAGCCTCGGGATGGGTCTGGCCACCAGAAAGACCCAAGTGTGATTAGAAGGTGGGAACACCCGGCTCGCCCATCCCCCCATCCCAGGCTGCACGTCAGGTTTTCGAAGTTCCGAGAGTTTCCGATTGCTGAACGCACACATGTGCGGGGAAGCCGGTGGGTCTGGAGACGGCATGCGATCGCCTCACCGACCCCCGGCCCCCGTCACGCTTTGCCTTTGCACCTGTCCCATTAGGCTCTTCCTGAGTCGTGTCCTTTGTAATAAACTGATAGTCGCCAGTACGGTGTGTCCCTGGGTTCTGTGACTTGTTCCAGTGAATTACTGAACCCGAGGGGGGTTGTGGGGACCCCAGCCAGCACAAGTGCAGGCAGCCTGGGCACCCCATCTGTAGCTGCCCCACGGTGGGGCAGGCTCGTGGGACTGCGTCCGTGACCCTTGGGGTCTGCACTAACTCTGGAACGGAACGGAACCGCTAGACGCCTGCTTGGCGTTGGAGAACTGGCGGACCGAGGACCCGGTGGGGCTTGTTGTTTGGGGAAAACCACACAGGAACCAGTTGGCTCCGTGGGTTAAGGGCAGAGGAGAAAAGAAAAACAAAATGCAGTCCTGCCTGGTGTTGACCTCAAGTCTGTCGTTTCCCCTGTTTGACTCAGTTGCTCCCTGGAACCAGAGAGGGGGAGCCAAGTGCTTCGTGAGGACCCCCCAGTCCCTACCCTCTTTGCCGTGGCTCGCAAGGGGCCTGGCTGCTCAGGTTCCAAAAACTATTTCTTGACTTTGAAGCCAACGTGTCCTCGAAAGGGGAGGCCCTGGGGCGTCCCAGACACCAACAGGGTGGAGCAGAAGCAAAAAGATCATAAAGGCCAAGGCAGCGCCTCGGGAGGCTCCTCCACCCTCTCACGGGAGGCCTCGGGCCTCCCCCTTCTTACCTGCTCCGCACAGTCTGGGATCTCGGGCGTGCAGGGCAGCGTCCCTGCGCTCTCCACGGACAGCACATCTTTCAGCAGCTCCTCGCACCCTGCAGACGGACAGACAGCGCAGGGTCAGAACCTCAGCAGCTTTGCTTCTGATCCACGGGCCTAGGGCAGGAAGGGCTGTGGGGGGCAGGTGGCCCAAGTGTCCAAGAGCCCAGCTGATCCTTCAAAGGCAGAGATGGCACGCCAAGCCCTGGAGAGGCTGGTCCCGGGCTCTGCCGGTGGAGCTGAGACGCACTGACCCCAACAGAGAACACACAACAGAGAGACTCCCAAATGCAGAGGGCAGGCCAGGGGCAAAGAGAAATCAAGGAGGCCTCTCTGGAGGAAGGGACACGAGACAGTACTCCCTGCCCGGTTCACAGACACTCCAAATGCACACACTCCCCTGCGGTCGAGGCCTTCGACGGCCCTGTAAACTCCAGGACATCTAGGACAGGGTCACCCTCAGCATGGCTCCGCGTCCTGCAGACTGCGTCACACAGATGGCCTCCCTCCGTGGTTCCTGAGCAAATGCCCCCATATCTTTTCAGACAAAGGAGGTCAAACCCACAAAGCACCTGGCGTGGGCACATGACAGGCCCAGTCAATGGCGGTCCTACAGTCCACGCTGAGGAAGGCTTTGTGGGGGCCGCGTGCAGCCCCTCCCAACCTCTCAGCTCACTTCCTGTCAGCCCTCACCTCCAAGGAAGTGATTCCTGCTTCCTTCCCACCCTCCCAGAGCCGCAGGTGCCCCACAGAAAAAGGTTCATCCTGACAGGAAAACATGGCTTCCTTCACAGATGGCAGGAAAGTCTTGCAGACCTGTGTTCTCTTCAGAGCCAGCAGGGAGGCTTGAACAAGTCTGCCTGCCCGGTGGCCCAAGCTGCTTTCTCCAGACAAGCAGTTTAGTGGTAAGAGTGGCCATGAGTGGCCTCTGATCCTTGGAGGTGCCTCACCATGGCCTTCGAATTGGGAAAAGAGAGGGACTGTATTTTGCTCCTTCAAGGAGGGGAGCGGGGAAGAGAGGAAGAGACTGAGGAGTCCCAAGGAAGAGAGAGGGGAGGAAACAAAGAGAACAGGAGAGAAGGAGGAAGTTGGGCATCCACTGTGCCCCGGGGTCTGCCCACAGCTGTTCTAGTTTTCAAACTGCAAGTCCTGTGTCCTGGGAAACTGCCCGGGAGCTGGGTCATCCTGGAGGGAGGTGACCCGGAGGAGGACTCAAGGAGGAGAAAGGAAAGCAATCAGAAACCTTTCTCTACAGGACAGATGATGGGCAGGGAGGAAATGACTGTCCCGTGGGCATGGGGTGAGCCTGATCCTTCTCCTCAGTCCCCAGGGGAGGAATCCCAGCTGAGACCCAAGTCAGGCCAGCTTCTGCAGCTGGACGGGATCCTGAGAGACCCCTAGGACCCAAAGGTCTCACCTTTCATGGCGAACACCCCTCGGCAAAAGTCCTTGAAGTTGATTCTCCCGAGGTCGTTGGGATCCAAATATTTGACAAGTTTTTCCACCTGTGAGAAGGAAGGAGGGACAGATGTGAGGTCTCCAGAGACGCCCCATGGGGTTCACGGAGCTGGGGTGAGGGTGGCTGGGGAGGCTGGAATGGAGGGAGGGCTTGTCACCTGAGCCAAGGGGATTAGGTGTCCCTTCCTAGGCCTCCACCCCTCACCCTGGATCAGCGCCAACCCCCCGACGGCAGCCGGGCCACTTGATTCTCTTGAGGTCCACAGACAGCACCAGGAGCCTTCCAACGAAGACTGGCACATGGAGAGTGAACGCTCTGATTTTTTTTTTTTTTAACTTAATGGTTTCTTTCCTACAAAAATCATACGAGCTCGCTGCAGAAACTCCGGAAAAGAGAATGAATCAAACCCTGCCGTTTCCCACTTTTTTTCCCCTTTAAAACACATAGTTTGGGTGCAGCTGGGTGGCTCAGCCAGTGAAGTGCCTGACTTTGGCTCAATCATGATCTCATGGTTCGTGAGTTCAAACCCTGAGTTGGGCTCCCTTCTGACAATACAGAGCCTGCTTGGGATTCTCTCTCTCTCAATTTCTCTCTCTCTCTGCCCCTCCTCCACTCTCAAAATAAATAAACTTAAAGAAAAAACACATGGTTTGAACCACTTTTTGGGTTTGTTTTTTTTTTTTT